GGCCTCTCTGGGACGCCTTCCAGGCTGCGGGGGTGAAAAGGCGGCCCAGGAGGCAGATCTTGGCGACTCTTTGTTTCTGCTCACCGCACTGCACCCGGCTCAGCCCTGGAGGGGGCGGGACAGCCAATGGGGCGGGGCCGGGCTCCGAACCCAAAGTTCCCCTTCTCAGAACGCTGGCCTAGGCGTCCAGCCGGGACTCTGAGAGCCCTAAGAGGATGGAGAAGGCCGTATCCTCCTCCAAGAGGAGTTATCCTGGCCTTGCATGGGCCTGGGGTTGGGGCCGGAGCAGGGCAGCTGGCCTGGGCCTCACCTGGTCCCCGTGAGTGCGCCCCAGTACCATTAACGGGGCTACCCCAAATAGCTCAGAGAAAACTGGATCTAAGCTGAAGAGCTGGGCGGCTGCTAGCACGAGGCCATCAACAACAACAATAATAATAACCTCTTGTCACCGCCAGGCTTACCAGCGAGAGAGCGAGAGCAGGGGCGCACCACGCTTGATTAAATCATATAATTAGGAGCCACTTTAATGAATATTATTACATTTCAGACGATTTCAAGAATGGCCTTATATTTTCTATGGACAGGCAGCATAATTATAATGAAGTATTTGGGATTATTAATAAAAACATGAATGGTCTACTTGGGGCTCGTGCGGCGCCGCAGCAAGGCCACCTGGCTCACAACGGCGCACACAAAGCTTCCCCCCACGCAAGCACTGGACTCCGCGAGTCCCTAGGGGCTGGAGACCCAAAGCTCTGTCCTGCTTGTGGCTACGCCTCCCCACCCTCCCCACCCCTCCCTGCTTCGAGGCCTAGAAAAGGCCTAGCGGTCCTCCAAGATAGGCCCGAAATGCACCGAGGCCCGGCGCGGGACTCTAACGCGTGTGTGCATGGGGTGCTGGGCTGGGGATCAGGCTCCCCGGAGGCTGGTTTCTGCTTCGCCAAACGAATCTGCGCTTTCAGAATTGCACCGTGGCTCTTCGTCGTCAGTCGCTATTAACCTCCCAGCGCGCGGCGGCTCCGCCTGGCAGCCTGCAGTTTTCGGTGGAGCCGGGACCCTCCCGGGGGCGCTTGGGGAGCCGCCGAGGCGAGTAGAGACCGCGGAGGTCGGATATTAAACCAGCGGGAGACAGAATGACTTTTACTAGAGCCCCAGCGAGCAAATGCTGCCTCCCAGCCGGCGAGCATATTTGCATAGATAGTGTCTGCGTATTTGCTGTGCGCACTGTACCTACGCCCGCCGGGCACACCTGTGCCTAGCGGTCTACAAGCCCCTATTGATTTGTCCTTTTCACTCAAGGAAAATAAGAAAAGAGCTGGAGAGCTCTTGCTGATCCCTGAGGACACCTGGATAGCTCCTTTTCTAGGATCCTTAGGAGAAAGCTCAAGGTGAGTCCCCACTGCGGCCTTGGGCGGACTGGCGCTGGGATCCTGACTCCTTCCTGGGGTACAGACTCATCCATGCCGTCCTGCTGGCAGAGCTGGATGCAACCAGAGATGGGCCTCTGGGCACCAAGATGCCCTGCTGGGGCCTTTCTGCCCTTCACTTTTACAGGGGTGGTTGCTCTGGCAGGTCTGGGAGGGACCGTGGTGGGTTCTTCTGGGCTGGGACTCCTAGAATCTCACCTGGGGTCTGCTTAGCTAGGAAGGATGGTGGTCTTAGCACGGCCTGGGCCCTGCGGACACAGTCGGGCCTGACAGGGTGGGAGCCCCCTCTCTGAGGGATTGAGGACTTTCTCTGTAAAAGGAGCTTTCCTCTTTTGCACACTTAAAAAATCACTTTCTCTGGGGCAACAATTTGGCCTGGGCTTCACCAACTTTTGGAGTCTGCAGTCTGGGTCCAAATCCAAGGCCCATCAGTTGAGGGTGGGGGTGGGGAACAGGCAAAGCCCAGTAGGCCAAAAACTTTAGAAAGAAGCAGGATCTTCCCTGAAGGCCTGATTCTGGTCTCCACTCAGTCCTGATGGGAGTGGGCTGGTAAGTGCTGCAGTGACTGTCCAGGAGTTCAGAGATTAGATTATATGCTGTTGAATTTCAAAATGTAATAATTATGCTGGGTGTGGTGGTTCACACCTGTAATCCCAGCACTCTGGGAGGTGCAGGCAGGTAGAGTGCCAGAGCTCACAAGTTTGAGATCAGCCTGAGGCAGAGTGAGACCTCATCTCTGAAAATAGCCAGGCATTGTGGCAGGAGCCTGATAGTCCCAACTACTTGGGAGGCTAAGGCAAAAGAATTGCATAAGCCCAAGAGTTTAAGGTTGCTATGAGCTGTGATGCCTCCGCTCTCTACTGAGGGCGACACAATGAGACTCTGTCTCAAAACAAACAAACAAAAAAAAAAACTAGTAAACATCAGAGAAAAATAACAATAAAAAGGAAAAAGGATCTCAGCATTTCAAGGGTCTAAGGGCTCATCCAGTTCAATCCCCTACTAGAGAAATAAAAGAAAAATCTCTCTATGGCATTGTAAGCCTAGGGCATGCTTGATCACCTCTGGGGATGGGGAACTCATTACCTTACAAAGTTGTACATTACTTCCTTCCCAGTGTATTTCAAAACACATTTTTAAAAAAATTGCTTGATGTTCCTATGTTATCTTTTTTTATTAAAATAAGAGAAAGGTTAATATAGTAATAGAAGTTGTGCTAGTAATTTTTTGTTTTCTTTTAAATCTGTGAACCCTCCGAACTGTTCAGAAGTCGAGGGGAATGTGTATTTCCCTATCAGTGATGATGCTAGGGTGCTGCTGGGACTCACAGCAGCGAGGACTCTGAAGCCTGGGGTGGAGGGGACTCCAGCTCCCTCTCCCTCTCTCCATGTGTCTGCCCATCCCAGGAGGGCTCCCTCAAGCCGCCTTCCTGCACCCTCATGGCCCATCCTGAGGCCCAGTGTTTGCCTGGGAAGCATGGCAGCCTAGTGCACCAGCATCAAACAGAAAATTCCTAAAAGGTCACCTCTGGCAACAGATGATCCTTACTAGTCTCTGAGTTTCTTCTACTGGGAGAAAACTTTTTTCTTTTCCGGCTAAGATGTTTGGAAATACAGTGATTGGCCACTCAAAGACCCCAAACACTTCCCAGCTGAGGGGACTCTGGAGGCTCAGTCAGCGGGCTAAGCTGGTTCCTTCCCTCCACCCCCTCTCCTCCAGCAGAACCACTGCGAGGCCTTTTTCTGGGGTAGAGGCATTAAAAACAACAAAAGTTAAACAAAAAATGCTGCTTTAAAAAGGAGAGTCTCTTGGTCCCAGGTTCAGCACCAAGGTGCTCCCCATGGCCCAGGGCACATAAGCAGAACCAGTGAGTATCTAGCAGACTGAGACCTGTTGAACGCTGCAAGATTTACAAGATTTAGTCAATGGAATAGCATTACATTTCTGAACAAGGAAATATGGACCTAAATTATTTTAGTTTTTCAGTGCTCACACTCGAGATATCCAAACTATTTTTAAAAAACTATAATAATTTGCCTCTTGCTGCAAAGATAGGTACCCTGGCACATGGTACCACATGGGGCAAAAGCAGTAAGCACCTGAGCATTGGGGAGGATGCTCAGGGCAGTTCCCCTGGACTCAGAAACACACTTAGAAAAACTAGTCATTCCACCTTGGACCTCCAATATTTTATAACAAAGAGGTGGGTTGTTTTTATTTAATGTAACTTTCAAGAATTTAAACACACAAAAATGCAGGGGGGAATGTTCACAATTTTGATAACCACAGTTGTAAATAGAAACATTCATTCATTTCTCGTAAGATAAATATTTGATATTGGAGTTGTAAAATGCACAGGTTTGATGAACAAAAAACCAACTTTTCTTTTTGCTAAAAAGGCATGTCATTTCATTGAGTTTCCTAAGCAGCAGATGGTTATTCACAGGCTTTTAAATTACAACTTTTGTTTTTATAGTTTCCTTTTTTAAAAGGTTTATACTATTATGTACAAAGTAAAACTACTATCAGCAGTGAAATAAAGAGGTTTAAGGCAAAGAGAAAAGTTCACCCTCAGTCCTGGGTAGACAGCCTCACTCCTGGCTCAGCCCTGGGCACCCCCGGCTGCCCTGGCCACAGACGGACATTTGGACACATCTTTCCCATACACTAAACAGAAGACAGTCTGGAGTTATATATAGATAATGTGTTTGTTTTTATATATATGTACTTGGTGGGGAATATATTGAATATATTTAATTTACACTGTACCACACCTTCAAAAAATAAAATGTATATTTTAAAAAAAACAAGAAAAGACAAAAAGTGATAGGAAATGAGTATTTACACCTTTTCTTCCTTCTTCTAGGAGTCTGAGTTCCTTTGAAAGTCAAGGTAGCCACATGTTCCAGAACTGTGGACTCATACACGCCTGGTTATGTGTGCCTGCATATACACACGTATGTACATATGTATACACGTGTACCTATATGTGTGTTACTCTTGGAAGACTGTTCTCTATAGCAGAAGCGGCTACTCCAAAAAAAAGAAAAAATAATAAAAAGAAAAAATAGGTAAGAAAAGGAAGAGTCAGACAGTGGCAGGAGCCCTCTGCCCGCCCAGTGGTGGGGGACCTATGTCCCATTAGAGGGCCCTGGCTAGAAAGCGGGCTGGCTGTTGGCTCTGCAGGAAATTCCCGGGCCAGGGAGAGGAGGCTCACTCCGCTGCTGAGGGCTCCAGGCCACATGCTTGGGCAGGGCCTCAGAGCCCTGAAGCAACGCCTGCCTGCAGAGACAGTGCCGTGCTGGGGTGGGAAGCTTGGTGCCGAGACTGGGGACAGAGATACTGAGACAGACATACAGACACAGGCAAACTGGCCAACCTTAGCAAGGGGGGTGGGGAGGAAAGGGAGAGGAGGAGGAGAAAGGGGAGGAGGAAGAGGAAAAGGAGGAAGGAGGAGGAAAAAGGGGAGGAGGGCAAGGGGGAGGAGAGGAGAGGGAGGAGAAGGAGGGAGAAAGGCCCCTGGAGGGCAAGAAGAGGGAGCCTGAAGCTGCAGCGGCCAGCGCCAATGAGCAAGGCAGCTTCCCCTGGCCGAGCCCCGGAACTGGTCCAAGGACCCTGACAGTCCCCTTTCCCAGGCAGCTCCCCTTCACTCCCTAAGAAATCTAGGTCACTGGCCCAGGCTCTGGGTGGCCCTGGCTGGCTGAGGCTGGGGGTGCCTCTTGCTGTCCTTACCAAGCCAACACAAACAAAGTGGCATAACTCATAGACCAAATAGGAGCTATTTATTCGGTTCACAGTCGTGTGAAATGCAGCAATAAAAATCTTTGGACTTCAGCAAGTTGTTTTAATTTTTTTCTTCTTTTGAAATAATAAAAAAAATGTCCAATGATGTCCTATAGTGAAGCTCAGGGAATTAAAAAAGATAAAACCCTAAGCAGCCCACTTTGAAAAAAAGAAAAATAATAAAATTAGCATAATCTTATAAACACAAAAAACTCAAAAAATATTTTATAGTCAGATTTTTGGATTTTATACCACCTGTAAATTATATATACATAGAATATTGCAGAACCATAGCTAATACACGATATTTTCACTATTAATGCTGGTATAATCTTTATACACTGGCCCTTTATTTATGATTTTAAATTATTGCATTGTTCAGCACGGACTGAGCTGACTCCGGGACCTACCCGCTGCCCTACTCGCTGTCCGACTTCCCCTCCTTGGCGGTGGTGGAGTGGTTGTACAGGCCCTGAGCCATGAGGTGCACGGCCAGCGTGTTCTTGTTGCCTGTGGCCTTCTTGATCTTGGCGCGCTTGTTCTGGAACCAAATCTTGATCTGTGACTCGTTGAGGCTGAGCTCCTGCGCCAGACTCTGGCGCCGCTGCTCTGTCAGGTACCTGTTGGTCTGGAACTCGGCCTTGAGCCTCTGCAGCTGCTCGGCGGTGAAGGCTGTGCGCGGACGCTTGTCCTCTCTGTTCGGGTTCTTCTTCTTTGGTTTTCGAGATCTGGGACCTGGATAGACATGGTGGACAGAGATAACACAGGTCACCCAACACGGGTCACCCATGGCTGGGAGGCCTATTTTCTCACCCAGAGGTGAGGCGCCCAACACGCTCTGGGAAGGACACAGGGCTCCAAGGGGGAAAGTGACTCAGTTAAAGACAAACTCAAGACTGACCTCCCAAGAAGTTGGGATGGAGGTGGGACTGGGTGTGGACTCCCACTGACCTCCTCAACCTGGGCAGGGAAGTCTGGTAAGGGGTAGGATTGGGGTAAAGAGCAGGCGTAGGGAAGGTCTATCACAAGTGAAGTTCTCCAGATAAAAGTAAAACTAAATTAAACCAAAAGAACAGACTTTCTGGCATGTTTTTTCCTAGTCCTTTTTCAAGTTGTCTATCTAGGAATAAGGATGGGAGTAGGTGCTGGAAGAGAAGAGTGCTGGGGGGAAGATTGGGGAAGACCACAGAGCAGACAGGGAAGCAGGAGCCCTGGGGACTGCAATGGGAACCCCACAGGGTGCCGGCCAAGGGCAAGCAGGTCTTGAGAACAGAAGGGCCCAGAGCATCTGCCTCCACCCTCTCCCCTTTCTGACTGCCACCCATGGTTCTGTGAGCCCAAGTTCATCCGTTCCTTTAGGGTGCGATGGAGCACACATCCTTCCAGGCTCACTAAAGGAGCACTAGGTCACTGGCAGCTCCTTCTTCCCCCACTGGCAGTCCCTGTCCAGGAGAGGGAATTTGGCTCTGGGTCCATAACCTGCCCCTCTTGCCCCTGAACCTGGAGGCAGGAGGTAGCAGGGTACCCAGCTGACCTTGGGCAGGTCCACACTTCCAACCTCCCCACTAGGGATTCATATTGTGACTCCTTGGCAGCCTCTTCCTCACGGAGTCAGTTGTTTCCACATTTTGGGCAGGATGGTGCCGGATCCCAGGAGCCTGGGAAAAGGGTTGAGCAGGGAGGGCAGAAGGAGGAGCTTAAAAACGGTTGGTTTTTGGTGTGCCCTGTGAGAGAAGAGGCAGGCAGGGCCACTGCCTCTAGTCTGCGTTTCTGTTCATCTGTGAGGCCCCTGGCAAGGCTGGAGTAGGCAGAGCCCCCCCTTCAGCCTGAAACCTGAGGCCTGGGCAGATATGGTGGAGAGCTGTGCCTGAGAGACGGCTGAGGCTGCTCCCCTCTCAGGCCAGGAGGGTGGAAGAGGGCGACCCCGAGCCTGTGTGCTCTCAGGGAAGCCAACCCAGAAGGGAGCTGTGGGCACCAGAGGAGGAGATCAAGGATTTTTGTTTCTAAAGCACACCCACGCTCACACCCATCTCCACCGTCACACTGGACCACTGTGGCACTCAGCCCCAGGGCTCCACCCCTGGTGGGCGACGGGCCTGCTTTGGTGCCACGTCCGGATTGTGGCGGAGGCCGGCAGGACGGAGAAGCGGGAAGGAGATGGCATGGAGGTCGGAGAGGCCGGCGCCTGCTGGGACGGCGCAGCCTCGTGTTCTGAGCGTCTCTTCCCAAGCGCCTCTGGTCTGTGGCCCTACTTGGTGCACACATAATTTTGCCCTCAAAAAGACTACATTTCTCAGAAAGAAATCTCCCCAAAACACTTTTTTGTTCCTTTTCAAAAGGCAAACAAGTGTCTAGGAAATAAAATCAAACCTCTACTTCTGCAAGAACCGAGAACTCTGCACCCCTAAAGCGCCAGGAAACATAACCAGAAACGTTCTTTTCCGGGGCTGGGGCCAGCCGTGCTGCCAGCTCCCGCGGCCGCCGCACAAAGCGGGGCTGAGGCTCCTCCGGAGCAGACCGGCTTTGTGAGCCTATATGTTAATTAAATATTAACAAAGGAGGGAGACGAGAACAATGGAGCAAATTTCAGATCTAGGTGGAGGAATCTGAACTTCATCCTAAATCTGCACACATATTTCTGGGGGAAGTCAGCCAGGGGCTGAATCGGTCCTGCACTGATCTGGGTAAACGATCCTGCAAAATAGTTGGTTTGGAGAAGAGGGGGTCCGCGGTCAGCTCCAGGACAAATACAGCCCACTCTTAATGGCGGTTCCCACAGACTCGAAACTAATGCAGTTTGTGATTTTTACAAGGACATGAATTCAGGTTAAAAAACCCCAGATATACAAAATAATTCACCCAGTACCTCCACACACCCCTACAAAAACTGCTCCTTTCCTATCCCTAGGCCCCAGGACACCCCGGACACCCCGTTGCTGCCTCTCCGGTCCCTGCTGTGTGCAGGAGGGCGCTGAGCTGCACAGCGCGGGGCAAATGAAGTCCGGGAAGGGGAAAGGGCTCCTGTTTCCTCCTTCCCCTGAGACTCCCTACATCTCCGGTCAGCCTAGGCAGAAAGGACATTAGGAAGAGCAGTGATGGCTTTTGCCCTTTCTTCCCCCACTATATCTGGGCTAACTGGATCATAAGAGGAGTCTGGGTCTGGGGGAGGGCTGGGGCGTGGTCCAGGCCTGGGAGTTGAAAGATGGGGGGACAGAGTTGAGAGTTTTCGATTCTTGGCCTGTCTTCCAGCCAGCCCATTCCCACCAAATAAACTGCAGTCAGGAAAAGGCCGGCGAGCGGCACCAAGAAATGCCGCAGAAACGGAGAGCAGAGAGAGGAGGGCGGCGAGGCGGGTGGGGGTATAGAGAAGGAGGGGAGCCCTTACCCCTCCTGCTGTTCTGAGGAAGTCGGTACTCCCCAGCGAATTCATCCTGCCGGGGCATTCTTGGCCTGCTCCGGCCAGCACCCGCTGCATACAATGCCCAATGCGTGCGTCTTTGTGTGTGTGTGCGCGCGCGCGAGGGGTGAGGGTGCTTGTGATGTCTTTTTGCTGCCGGTAACTTCCCGCGCTACCGCCCCTTGGTTCCGCAGGCCTCCCCCCCCCCCCCCCCCCCCCCCCCCGTCCCCCCCGCCCCACCCCCCCCCCCCCCCCCGGCAAGCCGGAACGCATAGTTCCCCCGGGCTCACCTGAAGAAGGCCGGTCAGAGTAGCGCGTGCAGTACACCCAGGCCGGCCAGAGCATGGGTTGCGCGCCCAGGTTGGCGCTAGCCTGCGAGCTGTCCGAGTCAGAGCTCACCGACAGGTCGCCGCCGCCCAAGCCGCGGGCCTTGAGCGCCCCGTCCAGGGGGCCTCCAGGGTCGCTGACTTTCTTGGCCCCGCCGTGCAGCGAGAGTGTCTTGGACCCGCCTTCCCCATCACCCGAGGAATCGCTGCCACCGGCGGGTAACGGCACGCCAGCACCAGGTGCACAAGGTGGGTTCTGCCGGGGCTCCCGGGAGCCGGACCCCAAAAGGCGCTGCTCCGCACCCCCCGCGCCGCCACCTCCCTCCGCACCACTCGCACCGCCTTCGCCGCTGGCGCTGCCGCCTCTTCCTCCGCTAGCGCCAGCAAAGCACGTTCCCGCGTCCTTTCGTCGGCCGAACTCCGGCCTTAGGATGTTGTCGATGAAGAAGTTGGTGATGCGGTGCGGGTGCTGGTGGTGGTTGCCCGGCGCCTGCAGGACAGCGGGCAGCATCAGAGCCCGCCGGCGCCCAGTGTCCGCGTCGCCGGGGCTGCAGCCACCGCCGCCGGAGCCGCCGCTGGGGTGGGATTCCGGCTGCTGCTGCCCCTCCACCGCCGCCGCTTCGCTGGGTTTGGGGTCATTCTCCTCCATGCTGTTCACAGCAAATCCTAAATTGGTTCTCTGGGTACCGCCCTCCAAACCAGCCTTCGACCCAGACGCGGCTCAAACGGAGCGCCCCGCGCCCGCACCCCGCCGAGTCTCCCAAGGGCGTGCGCCGTGGCCACCGCCAGGGCTGGAGTCCTACAAGTCTCCCGCCGCGCTCGGAGTGGAGCCACGTTCGAATCCACGAGTTATGTTTTTTAAAAAAATATCAAGAGTTGCCTGGCTCGCTCAGACGCCGGGAGATTCAAGAGTCAGGTCCTACTCTTTGCAGCGCAGCTCGGATCTAGACAGTTACCGTGGTCCAGCAGGGACCCGGGGCGCCTCCGGGCTTCGCGCTCCTATCCGCGTCCTGGCGCCTCCGGCTCTGGCGCCACCGCCTCGGCCGCCCGGGGCTAGAGCTGCGTGCATGCAGGCAGAACGCTCCTCGCACTCAAGCCTGCCCGGGCTGGCTCCGGCTCCGGACGCCGCCGCCACCCGGCCGTCCCTGCCCACGCGCCCCGGCCAGCCCTCGAGGGTGCGGGGCGCCAGCGGTCAGCGAGCCCGCCGTCGCTAACACGCACATGAAGGCCCGCGGGCCCGTACTGCTCTCCGCCGGCTTCTGGGCCCCCTCCAAGGGGCCGCCGCCCCTCTGAGGGCCGGGGCGCCCCACCAGTGTGCGGCCGCGCCCCAGCCGAGCCCCGCGGAGACCCGCGGCCCGAGTCGCATGGGTGAAGGACGGGAGGCGAGGGCCCGGCCGGGCCGGGCTGGGCCACCCGCGCTTCCTCGCGGTCCGCGTGCCCACGCCGCCTCGGCCTCCTCGCGGGCTCGGGAAATTTCCAGGCCACTTAGCGCAACCTGAGACACTTTCACTCTGGATTTTTGTTCTTATTTTTAACAGAGCCCCCTCGAGTGACGTCGCAGGCCGGTCTCCTGGACACGTGCCTCGAGCCAATGACCGCCTCGCCGCGCGTCCACGTGACGCGCCCGCGGCCGCTGGGTGACAGGAGCCACCCGCCGCCCCTCCCCTCCATCGCCGCCCCTCCCCCCCTTAAAGCGGCCGCGTCCTCCTACTCAACGTACGGGAGCCCCCAACCCTGCGAGACCAGGACCACGTCTCCTGAGCCCAGTCGCGCTTCTCCTGTGGCTTCTCCGTTCAGGGATCGCAGGAACCCCGCGACAGCTGCATCAGGTCATCCTGGTGTGCGTATGTGGACATGCACTGGTAGATTGTATTTTTAACATTTCCATATTGTTTACTGTGGGGAGAAATCCCACAATTCCTTGCACAAAATGCATAAATAATATTAAATGGGCTGCTGAGATACAAAGGGACTTTTGTAGCCCTCTTTCCTTGCTGGTGAGCATGAATATTGTCACTCACGTTTGACTTTGGTAACCCAGCAGCTTCCTGTCTTAAACGCAGAGCTGGCGCAGGACACTCCCCCTGCGGACGTTTATTGTAAGTGTGCGTATGTGCGTGTGCGTGTGCGGCGGCGCGTGTATACTGGAGCATTCCACCCGGACACTGGTCCCGGGGAAACTTGCATACAGATTCGCAGGAGCTGGGGATACAGCTGGAGGCTCATTTGCAGAGGGAGAAATAAAGGAACGACAGGGCTTATTACTGAATCTTACTATTTTTTGCAGAGGAAAGAGGTCAGTCAATGCTTCAGAACCATCCTGAGAGCACATACTCAGTACTGAGGAGGCCTGCCGCTCCTAACCCGCCGGTCACCACCCACCCACCCATAGAGGAGCTACTGGCCCTTTACCTTACTTTCTTTGTCTTAAAATTCTTTAAATGAATGTCATAGGAGAGCAGAGACACTTTGAAAGAATTAAGAGTCTGTGGGGGCTGGAGTCTCGGATTTGTTTCTCCTCTTCTTTTTACCCTTTTATAAACTTTTCTCCAGCTGCTGTCATAATGTCCAACTCAGACTTCTGTTTCCTCTTTTCTTCCCCTCCTCCCTCATTCTCCTTCCTCTGTGCTCTGTCTCCACCAAACACAGTAGCTATGTCAGACTGTCCAGTCCATCACTTACAATGCATTTTAATGGACATCCGTGAACTCCAAGAAATATCCAATCGGGCAGCTCTGAGGATGTGGAAGCCTTCAGATGGCATGAGCACCCTCAGGGGTGGACAGAGGGAGGGCAGCAAGGGACACCCAGGACTGGCTGCCCTGGGCAGCTGCAGGGTGCCCAGGAGCCCAGGTCTCCCCAGGAACTGAGCCAGTGGGGAGCTGCTGCACCAGAAAATGCAGGGGATCTAGGGCAAATACCCTCAGGCAGTGTGGTCTGCCAGGCCACCTAGAGGCTTGAAGGGTGTGCCCTGCCCTTTCTGGGTGCCCCTCACATACTGACCAATGTCCTGTCCTTGCTCTGACTAGCTCTGCCCACCCACCAACAGCAGGCTTCAGAGTGTTGGCTGGGTGGCAGGGAGACATGACAGTGACCAAAGCATTGCTCTCAGGGGAAATAACCTGAGGGAGGAGTGTGGGGGTGTGGGGGGAGGCAGTGCGGGGCTGGGTCATCTAGCTGCTAAAGGTGGCAGGTGGGGCAGGCAGATGGCCAGGGGTGGCAGGCTCTGGGTTAATGTCACCTGTCCTCTGTCAGGGTGGGGAAGCCATTTCTTGGGGTAACTCTTATCTCTCTTCCTGCTTCCCTCCACTTGCCCTCCATTGAAGGGCTCCTGATTCAATTTTCTGGCAGGGCACATACCTGCCAGGGGTCCTCCCTGGGTCTCAAAAAATGAATCTTATAGTCTACCTGCTTTTAGGAAAATGGGGTTGGTGGGAAATCCTACTGACACAGGCTTAGGGTCTGGGTGGGGGGAGGACATTGCCTTCAACCCTGGGCACTCTAGTAACCACTAGGCAGGGAATAGGTTATCCAAATTATCTAAGGTCTCCTGAAGGTGGTGTGGGTGGAAGGTGGACTCAGAGCTGTCTTGCGTCCTGCAAAACCATCCTAGGTTAATTTTCCCACCTGTCCCAGGGAGACAAATTAGACAATCTCCTGAGAAGTAGTATCCAGTTTCGTTAGCAACTTTGGCTTCTCCCTGCCTCTGCTTCATGTGAGCCCAAGATACGGGACACCAGCTGTGTTCTTTTTTGCCGTCAGGACCCAAATTCGTATCTGCAACATAAACTCTGAAAAGCAGGGTGTTATTTCCACCCGGCTGTGGGTGGGACCGGGACTCCGCACATGGGGACTGCAGGCAGCAGTGTCAGGTGGTCGGAGGCAGAAGGGAAGTCCTGTTTTACTCACCTGGAGGCAGGGGAGGTGGAAGAAGGTATAGGGCAGAGAAAGAAACGAGGGGAGGGAGAATCCCGGGTAGCAGGCCACCCAAAGTGGGCCCTAATAGGAAAACCACTCTGGGAAGGAGTTGGGTGCGAGTGGCCAGGAGGAGGGAGGGGGAGCTGCAGGACGCTGGAGGGCCCAGGGGCGGTGAGGCCCTCATTTCCCAAACACAGACAGCTCCACAGGCAGTTTCGGGACGCCTCTAAGTGTGCCGGCCTCCGGGTCGCTGTGCTTTCAGAGGACGTGGGGCCGCAGCTTGTGGTTCTCTCCTCCCGACCCGGGTCGGTGGGACGAAGGTGCGGCTGCAGCGTTTTGGCCACAGCCCTGCGCCTTCTCCCTCTGCCCCGCCGCCGTGCCGCCCCCGAGGCGTCTTCCCTGAGCGCAGTCAGACGACCCACCCGGTACGGGGGATTTGTTTCTTCAGAACGTAAAATGGGGCTCCGGCCCCGGAACCCCGCTGCCCTTCCACCCTCTCCCGGGCTGGGGAGCAGCGCAGCGCACCCGCCTGCGGAGAACTGCCTTCCCTGTTCCCGAGGCTCCTACACAAAGGGGCCTCGGAGAGAGTGAGGGGACTTGGCTCCCGGACATGGCGGACTCAACGACCTTGATGCTAACAGTGCAAGTAAAACCTCGGCGAAGCCTCAGGAGACTCTGGGCGCCAGGCTGCGGATTCCGCCTCCCATGTTTCTTAACACGAGGCAGTGGAGGGTGTCTCCTCCGGCCGCTGGCTGTCCCCTCGCTGCCCTGGTTTCTCTAGGTTCTCCTGGGGACTCTCGGAACAACCAAGGCCAAGAGCGCCCTTCGCTTGCCGCGGGCCTTGTCACTCTGGGGTAGAGATGTCCAACGGTTCCTGAGGGCGAAATTTCCACCCCGAAATCAGCTGGGTCCGCCACGCACAGCCAGGCCCCGGGCGCGGGCAGGCAACTGGGGTGGAGGGGAGGAACGCCACTGTTAGGCCAGGAGCACAGAGGGACCCGGCCTGCAGACAAAGGCCGGAGCGAAGGGGCAGGGCAAGGAGGGTAAGGGGACAGGTCGGGCGGGGACAGAGAGCACAGAGGGCGGGCGTGTGTGCTCACCAGGTGAGCGGAGGAGGACTGGCCCTGAGACCTAGCAGGCTAACTCCGGGCTGGGGCCTGGAGTTAGAGACCACGCAGAATAACCCCAGGAAGGAAGGGGTTAACCATAGCAGTGGCGAGCCTGGAAGTGTCGTGGGGACTGGGGGCACACAAGCCCTTGTGAAGTCTGGCGCTTCGCCCGTCCTCGTCCTCGCCCCAGGCCCGCCAGGGGCGCGGCCATAGAGTGGGGCAGAGCCTGGTCGGTGTGTTGGCGCCGGCGGAGGCTCGGGCGCGGCTGCGGAGGGCGGCAGGCAGCGGCGGGCAGTGGCCTTGAGGGTCGTCGGGCTCTGCTGGACGCTGCAGGAGCACCTGCGTGGAGCCAAAGCTCCCTGGGTGTCGGGGAAGCCGAATGGGTGAGGAACCCACCAAGGACCGCCCCCCTGTCCCAGCTGGGTGCTCAGCCCCAGTGCCAGGGGCATGAGAGAGGTGGGCAGTTATCCAGAGCTGGACACTGAAGGTTCAGAAACCGTTTCCTGTTCTTAACATGGTTTCTCATGAAAACGGACTTTCTTCAGGAGAATGTGAAGGATGCCTTTCCTTGTGCTAGTGACCCCACACCCAAACCAAATCCACAGTAGGGCCGGTGGCTGACCCTCCCTTGGCCAGAGGACTCTTGCTTTGCACGACTTGATTTTCCTGGAAATGGCTCACTTCCCACACCCTCTTTTCTGCTTTACTGCTGTTCTTAATCCCATAAATTTGGACCTGTATGGAAACTGGGCCCACTTCGGTTAAAGGCGGAGTCCTGCACCTGTATCAAGCACACCTGCATTCTGGGGTCTGGTCTTGGGGTCTGGGTGGATTTTCCCTGGACCGGCCGTTTTGAGCCATGGTTGAGAGGACAGAT